CCAGTTTGAAAAAGACAGATGCATCCCTATGTTTATTGCAGCACTATTTACAATAGCCAAGAAATGGAAGCAACCTAAGTGTCCATCAGTAGATGAATGGATAAAGAAGATGTGGTATATATATACACAATGGAATATTACTCAACCATCAGAAGAAAACAAATCCTACCATTTGCAACAACATGGATGGAGTTAGAGGGTATTATGCTCAGTGAAATAAGCCAGGAGGAGAAAGACAAGTACCAAATGATTTCACTCATATGTGGAGTATAAGAACAAAGCAAAAACTGAAGGAACAAAACAGCAGTAGGCTCACAGAACCGAAGATTGGACTAACAGTTACCAAAGGGAAAGGGCCTGGGGAGGATGGGTGGGAAGGGAGGGATAAGGGTGGGTGGAGGGAGGAAAAAAAGGGGGCATTACGATTAGCATGTATAATGTCAGGGAAGGCACATGGAGGGCTGTGCAACACTGAGAAGAGAAGTAGTGATTCTACAGCATCTTACTACACCGATGGACAGTGACTGTAATGGGGTTTGTCGGGGGGACTTGGTAACAGGGCGAGTCTAGTAAACATAATGTTCCCCATGTAACTGTAGATTAATGATACCAAAAAATATATATATATTTTACATGAACTGGAAAAACTCAAATGTTCATGAGTAGCAGAATAGATGACCAAATGGATGTACCCACATGTTAGCAAACCACTCCCTGATATAAAAAAAAAGGAAGAATCTGATACAAGCACCAAGGATAAATCTCAGAAACATCTGCCAAGGGGCAGACATGGAGTCCTGCGGGCTCGCTGCACCAAGCGCTAGGCTCGGTGGGAAGGCCAGGCTGGTGCCCGGGTCTGCACTTTGTCGTGGCCGCCTTGTCGGGAGGTGGTGTGATTTGTGGCCCGGCAAGGAACAACGATTGCCGCATCTACGCGGGTAACTTACCTCCAGACATGCGAACCAAGGACACTGAGGACGTGTTCTACAAATGCTGCGCTCTCCGCGACTCCAATCTCAAGAATCGTCGCGGAGGGCCGCCCTTCACCTTTGTTGAGTTCGAGGACCTGCGAGACGCGGAGACGTGGTCTGCGGTTGCGATGGCTCTGACCGCGGCGGGTACCGGCGGCGGGTGGAGTTCCCTGGAAGCGGTAAAAGCAGACACAAATGTCTCATCCCAGTCCCACCCGATGCTCTTATAAATGAAACAGTATAAGGGCTTCAGAATTTGTGCCAAGTGTAAGATAAACACTCAAGTAGCCTAAAAGACTGAAAACTCCTGTAACAACGTCACATTGCAGGGATAGGGAAGGCCTGGACTTCATCTATGACTGCTTCTGGGGTAACTTTAGTCTTCCCCGACCAGACAAACTCCAAGAATTTGACTGACAAATCAGGTCCCTGAACCTTGGTGCTGTTGACAGCCCATCCTTTCTGCTGTACATGTTGCAGCAGCCTAGGTGCTGCACCTTCTAGATCTGAAAGAGAACCAGATATTAGCATATCATCAATAGAATGGTACAGTTGCACTGTTGATGGATTCTCCTGCGCTGCCAAGTCCTGGGCTACAAGTCCATGACAGACGGTGGGCTGTGGAGGTTTCTCTGTGGAAGGACAGTGAGAGCCCATTGCCGCCCTTCCCACATGAAGGCAAATTGTTCCTGACTTTCTTGTTCTATTTCAATGGAAAAGAAGGCATTAGCAAGATCCACAACACAGTGAATATGTTCCTAGTTCATGATTCAGGGTATCCGTCAAGTATGCAATAGAGATGACACATACAGAGGCGGTATGACTTTATTTAATTCTCTGTAATCCACGGTCATATGCCAGGAGCCATCTCAATATGTTACCAGACACACCAGGGGATTAAAAGGGCTATGAATAGGCTTTATAGTACCCACGTTTCCAGTTCCTGGAGGGGTTCTCCAATTTCTTTATGCCCTCCAGGGAATTTGTATTGCTTGGCATTAGACACGTGCTGATGCACAAGAAAAGATACAGGCAGGTGCTTAGCATGTCCACTCAGAACTGCCTTTACCACACATATGCTCAGTCTGAACTCACCTGCAGTGGTCTGCAACCATAGGCCCTGGAGGACATCAATCCCCAAAATATATTTAGAGATTGGAGAGATATATACTGTATATTCCTTCAGGTATAGATGCCCTCTTCCCAACGAGATTCAGGCTTGTTTCACTCTGATAGCCTTACCTCCGTATCCAACTGTAACAATGGAGGTCCCTGAAAATTGCTCAGGATTGCCATAAATCAGTGAACATTCAGCTCCTGTGTCTACAGGAGCTGGGATGTGTTGAACATTCACTGGGTACCAATAAATTGATACTTCAACATGTGAACTCTGGTCCCCTCCAAGTCCCTCAGGGAAGGTGCACCTCAACCCTCTCCTCAGTCAAACCGAGTCCTCCAACGATCTTCCTGTGTGGGTTCAGGTGAGGCTGGCTCACTCTCTAGCAGGAAGTCTTGCAAACACACAGGCCAGACTTGTGGCTCTGTCTCTGGCCTCTGCTTCTTGGTCCTCAAAGCCAGAACTGCTGCTCCAGTTTCAATTGTTGCCATAGCTCCAGTAAGATTCTATTTGACTTCCCACCTAATTTCTCTCTGTCTGCTCCTTCCACTATTAAATTGACTCACATCTGGGTCCCTGTGACCTTCAAAGGTCCCTTTAAATTCTTTCTCTGAGTCGCAGACCATATTTCCTTCTGTGCTATCATTGCTTCAGCCTCTCCTAAGTCTGCTACCATATGGGTAACCTCACTTATGGGTTGCCTTAAGTGAGGGACAAGAATGGCCACTAGCGACCCAAAGAGGGACATGGGAGCCGTCTGAAGCACCATATTTCTCATCCCTGCAGTAAAAGGCTTCTCATATGGGCCATAATTCTCTGGACTATGGATGGCATCTTTTATGCCTCACTCCCATAACACCTGTTGGAGCTTAGCATATGTTTGCCATCTAGCAAGAGAGGATGGTAAATCACCCTGATTGGACCATACAGGGTGAAGCACAGCCATAAGCCTATCAAGGAGGGAGAGACTTTCTGGGGTCTGGTGTGCATTTTGTAATCACTGCATCAAGGCGGGATGAACTGTCAGGGAATCCAGCTTTCCCATCTCTGAT